TATATATTATTAAACGAATGAAAATGTTTCATCTAATAACTGCGGAGTCAAAAATTTTAACAAATTAGTAATAAATTAGTTAATCATTGGATCAGTCTCTTACCTGGAAATCAGCTAGATCTGCGAATAGAACTGTAGCACTCTGATAACTTCCTACATACGGTGTGTTGGTTTCACGGCACCTGCAAAATATTTATAGGTTTAAAAATATATTATGTATAATGTTTAGTAATGTAAAATGTATTTATATCCACCAGCGTGCGCTTTTTCGCATAGCGGGCTCTCGCCAGCCCGCTGTCAAAGGGCCCGATATCTCTACAGCCCGCTCATGATATAGCCCGCTAACAAGTGACATTTAATTTGACCAGTAGCAATATAGCCCGGAGTTCTCTAAAATATTTTCAGTTTCTGTATCGTCTCCATGTGAAATTCCTTATTACACTGACTATATATACATTTTATTTTTGTGTCCGGTAGGGCTGCTCATGCAGCTCGTGAGCAGATGACATGATACTTTGATTTATATCAAAGTTATCATAACACACTACATAATACACATCAGCACTATAATCCCCCTATATTATTGATATTCATCGTCACTGACATTACATCCATTATTCCCACGGCCCAGGAATGCAGTGCATCTCCAGCCCCTATATACGACACAGCCCTTTATGATTGGCTTACATTGAACACGTGACGTGTTACCATGGTTACAACAATTAGTGGCGACCTTTTCTAGAGTTGACTTTTATACAAGCTCCATTGTTTATTTATAAAATTATATATTAACTGTAATACGCCCGCTGGTGGATATAATCCACATCACCTCGACCCGCGGGCGGAAAAATCGTATAGCACTCGGGCCCGATGGGCCCTCCGTGCTATACGAAAATATGTCCTCCTCGGGCTAGCGCCCTCGGGGACATATGAAATATTGCACGCGCGTGCGCGTGCAATATTTTGTTCCGCCCGCGAGTCTCCGGTGATATGTATATATATTGGAGCTTAGTTTCATTCAATTATTCTGTTAAACTTCTTTGGTATTTTAGTGACCGCAGTTTACGATCATTAGCATTTTATGGAGTTAAGTTATTGAGTTAAGTTTTAGGGAGACGAAGTTGATGAATGAACTTTGTTTGAGAATTTAATTGGACTCTGACCCCTGCAGGTCTGTTAGACCCACAGGAATTGAAATTAAATTATAAACTTTGGAGGACAATAACCTTCTCATTTCTCAGTTTCTTCTCAGTTGCCACTTAAGCGTTCATACACGACACATCTTACAACACTTACCATCATCCTACATTACACATTCTGATTCCCCCGGCATCCTCCCGTAGGACTGCCATACCCCAGAGGTAGGCAAAGCTGAAAGCATCCACATGCTATCCTTTCGTGGGCCACCCAGGCTACACAGTACACAATAGGGCATAACCTTCAAATTTCCTTAACCACACAATATGGCATCATCCGGAACAAACCTTCTAATTTCCTTAACCACACAATAGGGCATCATCCGAAACAAACTTTTTCATTTCCTTAACCACACAATAGGGCATCATCCAGAACAAACCTTTTCATTTCCTTAGCCACACAATAGGGCATCATCCAGAACAAACCTTCTCATTTCCTTATCCACACAATAGGGCATCATCCGGAACAAACCTTTTCATTTCCTTAACCACACAATAAGGCATCATCCAGAACAAACCTTTTCATTTCCTTAACCACACAATAGGGCATCATCCAGAACAAACCTTTTCATTTCCTTAGCCACACAATAGGGCATCATCCAGAACAAACCTTCTCATTTCCTTAACCACACAATAGGGCATCATCCAGAACAAACCTTTCCATTTCCTTAACCACACAATAGGGCATCATCCAGAACAAACCTTCTCATTTCCTTAACCACACAATAGGGCATCATCCAGAACAAACCTTTCCATTTCCTTAACCACACAATAGGGCATCATCCGGAACAAACCTTCTCATTTCCTTAACCACACAATAGGGCATCATCCAGAACAAACCTTTTCATTTCCTTAACCACACAATAGGGCATCATCCAGAACAAACCTTTTCATTTCCTTAACCACACAATAGGGCATCATCCAGAACAAACCTTTTCATTTCCTTAACCACACAATAGGGCATCATCCAGAACAAACCTTTTCATTTCCTTAGCCACACAATAGGGCATCATCCAGAACGAACCTTCTCATTTCCATAACCACACAATAGGGCATCATCCAGAACAAACCTTTTCATTTCCTTAACCACACAATAGGGCATCATCCAGAACAAACCTTCTCATTTCCTTAACCACACAATATAGGGCATCATCCAGAACAAACCTTTTCATTTCCTTAACCACACAATAGGGCATCATCCAGAACAAACCTTCCCATTTCCTTAACCACACAATAGGGCATCATCCGGAACAAACCTTCTCATTTCCTTAACCACACCATAGGGCATCATCCAGAACAAACCTTCTCATTTCCTTAACCACACAATAGGGCATCATCCGGAACAGCAGCGCCTCCGACATGTCGTTTTGCATTTTCAGTACTTTCATTGTCGTCTTCGTTCTTTCGCTTTGAGCCTGTGAGAGGAGCCGAGCTTTACACCAACATACAAATTTATTAATACTCATTGATTTCATACAATTTGTTTAAAATGGATTTTACCGTAAGGTCTGTACTATTCACTTATTGGCCCATAAAATATTAAAATCGCTAAAATATTCAAAATCTCTACTATCAGATCTACACCTTGAGGTACAGATAGATTTGTTTTATCTTTCTGATGTCGATGACAGCAAAAACAGAAAGAACAAGGCATAGTATGATGAGGACAACTTCTGTAGCGTACTGGTAGAGGATAGCTTTATTGATAAGACTGGTCATGTTCTCGTTCACTGTGAAGGCTACTGCATCTTGGATCGCTTTTATGTGCTGAAGGTGAAGTAATTACAGATGTAATTCGGACAGTTTTAGAGCTTATTATTTAAACTTCGTGAAAATTCAATACGGTTCAATATAATCATATTACTATATAGCAATGCACTATTTTGTACAAATTGTCACATGGTATCCTATCAACTCAGCAGCTATAAAAGTATAAACACGCAACATAATCATAGTAGTATGAATGTAATAACTAATATATGCTACTAATCAATATTACAGGTAGTAAGTTACAAATACGTATTATAATGTTACATACCATTACTAAAGTACTAAGTTACTACTAATCACGGTCCCTTGCAGGTATTAAATCTACAAACCCACCTCATCGTAGCTCATGCCGATGTTAATCCAGAACAGAGCGATCTTGTGGGACTGCTCCACCGGTGCATTGTCTCTAATCTGCTTGAGGAGAGTCCTCAGATCACCGCTGAAACGGCATTTTAATTGGAAGTAGTCATGGAAACGGTATTATTAAACATAGTTTGGATTTTTATTCCGATAAATAAGTCCAACTTCAAAGCAGCTGTCTTACTAAAGAATCTCCTAATCACATTGAAGACATTGTATACTACTAGTTGATAGTTTATATTACCATGAAGCAGTGTATTAACAATAACGTAAAAGACTTTGTGTTTGGAATGATGGTATATCATGTTTGATATTTCATATTATATAATATTGGTAGCAGTGGACAATGTCCGTTACCTCTGTATTGTGCTCTGCCAATTGCAACACTTGAATTACTTTATTGTATAATTATACTGTTTGACACTTTTTAGTAACTGCAGAAGATGCATCTGACCATTTTCAATAGTTCCTACTTTTAGTTTTATCATGTTTGAAATGTATACCTGTATTTGAACAGAGACTGGTATATTTTCGATCTGATTGAGTCCCCGCCATAAATTTGGGAGAATTGCAGTGAATAGTCGTGCAGCTGAAACGAGTGTTAGTTAGAAAAATAATGCTTGTTCGATTGGTTTTAGCCAGTAGATACTTAGATAGTATACCAGAATATTTTGAAGTAATGATACATCTTCTGCATCATTAACCCAACATAATGTTTAAAGTGATTCCGATGATAAATCCAAGAAGTGTCCAACATAGCTGGCATGTCAAAATGAGCCAGATGTAATATTAAAGCTACATTCAAAGCACCAATAAAGAGGGATTGTATGTCGAGGGAGATAGTTACTAGGTTACTAGGTTACTAAAACTCACCTAGGTTACTAGGTTACTAAAACTCACCTTCAAAGCACCAATAAAGAGGGAGTGTATGTCGAGGGAGATGGTTCCGTTCATGAAGTACATCACTCCCACGCTCTCTATCAAGAAGAGCTGGTACCTGCTAAAGATGATCGTCTCGTACGTGACCTGCAGTTATTAGAACTGGTTACTAGGTTGCTAAAACTCATCTTAATTTTTTAAAAGACAAGACTAAAAAAGACTAACAAAATCGTCCACTCGAGGTACAACAGATTCCTTACTGTGAAGCTTAACAGAATTGATTGAAATGATTACCTTGGTAACCTTGGTAACTCATTTAAAAAAGTTAAGACTATAACCAATCACTTGACTCACCAAAGTGTTCCACACAAGTGAAAAAGAACCACCCTGTAACGACTGAATTACTCCTTCATAAATAATCTTAATCATGATGTGATAAGCTTTAAAGGCCTCTTCTGCACGCAGCCTCTGTGCGTCAATAAGTCCCCGTAGCTTCTCCAAGTCCGCTATAAATTCAAGCTTACTCGCGTAGTTGGTTTCAAGTGTCTTGGGCCACGTTGATATGAGAGCTGAGAGATAAAAATATCATTTAGAATATTTTAAAATGGAATTTTGTGTGGACAAGGTTATTAGTAATTAGTATTACTATGATATTTTGGAGAGGTTCACTGTTTATCAGTCTCATGATAAGATAATAATTTTAGGGATAATATCCGGTAGTAGAGACTAGGTAGGAAAAGTGAAACTACTGTTTAGGAGGAAACGCGAGCTTTAAGTTTGCTACACTTTTATCAGGCTCAAATTATTTGTTATATAGTAGTGTTGAAAGTATTAAAGGTTATTAATACTTTCAACACTACTATATAAAAAATAATTTGAGGCTCTAATGATGTAGTTTTACGAAGATTTCAAGCCTTATGTTGTGTGTTTCCTTTCGTGTTCAAAAGCATTATAAAGGTTATTTGTTATATAGTAGTGTTGAAAGTATTAAAGGTTATTAATGTATCACAATTTCTCTCTTGGAATTACAAAAACCAGCTTCATTTCTTTTAATAATCTGACCTAAAGATTCGTTGCTCTTTATTCTGAGGTCACTGACAACCACAACTGGGTAGTCGAGGTTTCCGTATATGTACATCATAGTCCACAACATCTCAGCATTCAGTCCTTCTACTGCTTTAGAAAACTGAAATAAAATAGTCAAGTAAAAATAAATAAATTAGTCCCTCATAAGCTTTAGGAAGCTGAAATGTATTAGTCCCTTAGAAAATGAAATACGCTCATACAGGGTGAGTTGAAAATAGTGTGTGGAATGTAAAGATCGATAATTTTTTTTATGAAGGAGCAAATTTTGAAAGGTGTATTGCTATCAGTTCATAAACGTTACACATTTCATTGTTGCATCTCATTCGATTCTGACTCATAATTTGGATGATTTTTGGCAGTTTCCCAAAAATTCGTAAATTCGTCCTAATGGGGTTCTCAAATCGCGTGCCCTGAAAATCGAGTCTACAAATATATCTTCTCCTACATATTTTGCGCAATCACCCTGAAACTTTCAGGATATGTTCTAGGGATCATTTAGAAGAGATGAGCCAGACAAAATTTTGAGATAAGCCTTTAATACATTTTTGTAGTTCTTCAACTGATATAACAGTGTAGTGAGCTGAAAAATAAAGATAAAAAGTCATTAAAACTACTTTAGAAAAATAAAATAGAATTGATTAAAATATCCGCAAAGTTATTTAAGTAAAACTAACTTGTTGGCTGCTTCCCACTAGATTGTGATTAGCACGACTTTGTCCGTGCGACGTATTTCCCTGGAATACATACAATTATGTAACGTGATGGAAATATTTTAAACGGGTAATAACCTGTCCAAACCCAGGATACATAACATGAAGACTTTGTTGTAACTTTGTATGAGAAGCATTAATACTGATAATTAAATAATATCCAGTTGAAGGAAAATAAATGAAACAGGAAGTTAGGAATATGGGCAAATGTTCGGCGTCAACACCATCTTCAGACTCAATAAATGTATTTAAATGTAGTTGTGAAAATAGTTTAAAACTTATTTTATCTATATTATATTTTTGTCTATCAATTTTTTTCTATTATCAATTTTTTATAAGGGTAACTTAGTAACTGGTTACTAGGCTACTAAAACTGGTTACTAGGTTACTAGAACTGGTTACTAGAACTGGTTACTAGAACTGGTTACTAGAACTGGTTACTAGAACTGGTTACTAGAACTGGTTACTAGAACTGGTTACTAGAACTGATTACTATAACTAGGTTACTAGGTTACTAGAACTGGTTACTAGGTTACTAAAACTGGTTACTAGGTTACTAGAACTGGTTACTAGGTTACTAGAACTGTTAACTAGGTTACTAGAACTGGTTACTAGGTAACTATAACTGGTGACTAGGTTACTAGAACTGGTTACTAGGCTACTAGAACTGGTTACTAGGTTACTAGAAACTGGTTACTAGGTAACTAAAACTGGTTACTAGGTAACTAGAACTTATTACTAGGTTGCTAGAACTGGTTACTAGAACTGGTTACTAAAACTGGTTACTAGAACTGGTTACTAGAACTGGTTACTGGCACTGGTTACTAGAACTGGTTACTAAAACTGGTTACTAGAACTGATTACTATAACTAGGTTACTAGAACTGGTTACTAGGTTACTAGAACTGGTTACTAGGTTACTAAAACTGGTTACTAGGTTACTAGAACTGGTTACTAGGTTACTAGAACTGGTTACTAGGTTACTAGAACTGGTTACTAGAACTGGTTACTAGAACTGGTTACTAGAACTGGTTACTAGAACTGGTTACTAGAACTGGTTACTAGAACTGGTTACTAGAACTGGTTACTAGAACTGGTTACTAGAACTGACTACTATAACTAGGTTACTATAACTGGTTACTAGGTTACTAGAACTGGTTACTAGGTTACTAGAACTGGTTACTAGGTTACTAGAACTGGTTACTAGGTTACTAGAACTGGTTACTAGGTTACTCAAACTGGTTACTAGGTTACTAGAACTGGTTACTAGGTTACTAGAACTGGTTACTAGGTTACTAGAACTGGTTACTAGGTTACTAGAACTGGTTACTAGGTTACTAGAACTGGTTACTAGGTTAATATAGAACTGGTACCTGGTAGATATGGTAGCAGGAGTAACAAACCACCGCTAAGATGGGAATTATAATACAGACTATTATATTCCTGCTCTTCTTCTTGTACTCGAAACCTTTGTCGTCCTGTCACATGATGTTTAATTCCAGTTACACCACAAGATACAAAATAGAATAACAAGGTCACATGTTACAGTAAGAAAAAGATTCAACGAACCCTTATACTTTACCGCGGCTGGTTCCTTTTTCTTAAACTCTGTGGTAAATTGTGGTTTTACAGTAGTGATAATTACGGTTATTCTGCCTCTTGATCGCTCAGTATAAATTGTAAAATAAATTGTCTTACCATAATATATTGATCTTTATACGACCCGCTTATCATTGGTTATAATTCTAGCTGGTCGAGTCGATTAGTGGTAGACGGAGTCAGTATTTGAGAAAAGGTGGATACAAAGTCATATCAATCGTAGAAAATCATAGAGTTTAAGTTTTAAACAGTTTTATCGCAAAATATAAGAAAATACTTACATTCACTACGCTGTCCACAATATCATTAAAATCATTTTGTATTTTATCCCAGGAATTTACTGAATCTGAAAAAATAATTTCATGATAATTTGATCGTTTGATAATGAAACATATCGCATCAGGAATATGAGGAATAAGAATTTGTAAAATGAGATAATGACTGATCAGGAAAGCATGTCCACGAAATACTTGATAGTGATCGCATGGGGCCAACAATGCTGAGTGGAAGGGTTGAAGACAAATAATTAAAATTACCAGCAATCCTGAGTGAAAGGATTGAAGACAGATAATTAACTTTACCAGCAATACTGAGTGAAAAGGTTGAAGACAGATAATTAACTTTACCAGCAATACTGAGTGAAAGGATTGAAGACAGACAATTAACTTTACCAGCAATACTGAGTGAAAAGGTTGAAGACAGATAATTAACTTTACCAGCAATACTGAGTGAAAAGGTTGAAGACAGATAATTAACTTTACCAGCAATACTGAGTGAAAGGATTGAAGACAGATAATTAACTTTACCAGCAATACTGAGTGAAAAGGTTGAAGACAGATAATTAACTTTACCAGCAATACTGAGTGAAAAGGTTGAAGACAGATAATTAACTTTACCAGCAATACTGAGTGAAAAGGTTGAAGACAGATAATTAACTTTACCAGCAATACTGAGTGAAAGGATTGAAGACAGATAATTAACTTTACCAGCAATACTGAGTGAAAAGGTTGAAGACAGATAATTAACTTTACCAGCAATACTGAGTGAAAAGGTTGAAGACAGATAATTAACTTTACCAGCAATACTGAGTGAAAAGGTTGAAGACAGATAATTAACTTTACCAGCAATACTGAGTGAAAGGGTTGAAGACAAATAATTAAAATTACCAGCATTCCTGAGTGAAAGGATTGAAGACAGATAATTAACTTTACCAGCAATACTGAGTGAAAGGATTGAAGGCAGACAATTAACTTTACCAGCAATACTGAGTGAAAAGGTTGAAGACAGATAATTAACTTTACCAGCAATACTGAGCGAAAGGGTTGAAGACAGATAATTAACTTTACCAGCAATACTGAGTGAAAGGGTTGAAGACAAATAATTAAAATTACCAGCATTCCTGAGTGAAAGGATTGAAGACAGATAATTAACTTTACCAGCAATACTGAGTGAAAGGATTGAAGACAAACAATTAACTTTACCAGCAATACTGAGTGAAAAGGTTGAAGACAGATAATTAACTTTACCAGCAATATTGAGTGAAAGGGTTGAAGACAGATAATTAATATCAAATAACGGAGTAGTTCGCTGTTTATTAGTCTCATGATTGAAATACTGATATCTGGATATTATCCGGTTGGAAGAGACAAGGACAAGTGAAACAAGGAAGTTAGGAGTAAGGGCAAATTTTCGGCGTCAACGCCATCTTCAGGCTCAATAAATGTAATAGATTTGTGGTGTTGTAATTAGTTTAAAACTCATTACAAATCTATTACATTTATTGAGCCTGAAGATGGCGTTGACGCCGAAAATTTGCCCTTACTCCTAACTTCCTTGTTTCACTTGTCCTTGTCTCTTCCAACCGGATAATATCCAGATAACAGATAATTAACTTTACCAGCAATACTGAGTGAAAGGGTTGAAGCACCGGGAGACTTGTTCTTTTCCCCTTTAATGTGCACCTTTTTCTTAGGGAGGAGCCGTCTCCGTGACTTGTACAGCTTATTAATCCTCATCCTGAGTTGACCAATTAAGACGGAAGTTGTTTCGTTTTTTCAGCTGTGATATGAAGTTTAATTTGGTAAAATGCTAAATTAACTGTAATTAGTGCTTTAGTGATCCAAGACATTTTCGTCCATTTAGAATAATTCTTTTACTCAATCAATGATCAACTCAGTTTCTAAGTTTATAAATTCGTTTCCGTAACATAAAAGTAAATTGATAAGAATCTCAATTCTCAAATACTATAATACAACTGCCAGAAATGTAAACTTTTACTAAAACACGATAAAAAATCATATTAAAACCGATACAATCTTCGAAGGACCCGAGTGAATTCAATAGTAATAAAGTCTGCAGGTGACAGTAGTAAGGTTTTATTGGAAGCGCCTGTCAAAGTCTATGAACTTACACCAGCCATTATTA